ACATGTTGCCTCCCAAACATACGTTTCGGGCGAAGAACCAAAGCTAATTTCAGTGTGTGAAAAGCAAGCAGATTTCATTACCGATTGTGGCTCTCTTTCAAAATGATTAGGATGCAGGAGATAGGTTCTCAAAACTGAGTGTCCAAGTGGGAATTTATGATGTAGAACTTCAGCTTTATCATCCGTGGACTTCAACACGGAAAAGGAGAATTTTGCTCACACGAATCTCATAGTTAACTTGTGAGCCAACGGTCTCACTTCAATTTCTCTCTCTCTCTCTCTCTCTCTCTCTCTCTCTCTCTCTCTCTCTCTCCCTGCCTCTTTCTCACCTGCCTCTAAATCTTCATACAACTATTTACTCTTTCCATAGCAAGTTAAGAGCAGGAATGGCCATTGGCTGTAACCCTTTCTGGCAGACAACGAGGAGTCCTGATATTTTTTTGTACTTCCACTCCTCCCTAAAGAAACATCTGCAAAATTAAGAAACCAAACAAACCAAATTTCAACTAGAAAGTGGGATGAAGTCTCACAATACAGCTTTTCCTCTGAGGAGGATTCTTCCCCCTGTATTATTTTGACACATCTTGGTCCCAGATGCAAGAAGCCATCTGCACTAATAATTCTCTCACCGAGATCAGGTAGTCATATGAGTTAAAACAGCTGTGGAATGACTGAAGAGGTGAGCAGGCTGCTAATCTGGCAGCAGTTTGGCGAATCATTGCATGAGTTTGGTGGGGAAGTATCAGAGACATTAGATTCTTTATCACCTTTGCGAACACCCATAAAGTAATGCTATTAGTCCCGATAATTATTCGCAGCTAGAAAAATATCACAACATGGTAGACAGTTTTATTTATTTCTTATTAAGGTTTCTGCCGCAACCTTTAATCAATTAAGGTGGGTTGCAATGAAATATTTTAAAGCATTGCATTATAGGCTGCATCTAACTAAGTTCTACTGCTGAAATTAACAGTCCATTCATTTCAATAGGTCTACTCTTGAGTATGGCTAACAACACATGCAACACAGTAAAAATAAGTACACAGAAATGATCGAAACTTGAAAATTCATAAAGGTAGCATTAAAATAATATACAAGGTAGAATGAAACTTGTCTTTAGAGCATGAGACTCATAATCTCAGAGTTGTTGGTTTGAGCTGCATGTTGGGCAAAAGATTCCTGCATTGCCCTTGTGGTCCCTTCCAACTCTACAATTCTATAATTCTAGGATCAAAACTTTGTTGTTGTTTAGTCATTTAGTCGTGTCCGACTCTTCGTGACCCCATGGACCAGAGCACGCCAGGCACTGCTGTCTTCCACTGCCTCCTGCAGTTTGGTCAAACTCATGTTTGTAGCTTCGAGAACACTGTCCAACCATCTCGTCCTCTGTCGTCCCCTTCTCCTTGTGCCCTCTATCTTTCCCAACATGAGGGTCTTTTCCAGAGAGTCTTCTCTTCTCATGAGCTGGCCAAAGTACTGGAGCCTCAGCTTCACGATCTGTCCTTCCAGTGAGCACTCAGCGCTGATTTCCTTCAGAATGGAGAGGTTTGATCTTCTTGCAGTCCATGGGACTCTCAAGAGTCTCCTCCAGCACCATAATTCAAAAGCATCAATTCTTTGGCGATCAGCCTTCTTTATGGTCCAGCTCTCACTTCCATACATCACGACTGGGAAAACCATAGCTTTTACTATACGGACCTTTGTTGGCAAGGTGATGTCTCTACTTTTTAAGATGCTGTCTAGGTTTGCCATTGCTTTTCTCCCAAGAAGTGGGCGTCTTTTAATTTCGTGGCTGCTGTCACCATCTGCAGTGATCATGGAGCCCAAGAAAGTAAAATCTCTCACTGCTTCCATTTCTTCCCCTTCTATTTGCCAGGGGGTGATGGGACCAGTGGCCATGATCAAAACTTTAGAAGCCTGGAAAAATAAAATAGGCCTTTGCCTGACGCCAGAAGGACATTAAAGCAGGTGAGTCTCTCTGGGGAGAGGGTTTCATAGATGGGGTGCTGCCATTAAAGTGGCCCTTGAAGCGCTCTCAGATAGTGGGGGAGCTCAAATGAGGTCTGATGGTGGTTATTTCAAAGTATGGTTAGGCACAGGGAGACAATGGATCTTTCAGGTACCTGAGCCCTAAGTTGTAAAGGACTTTAAAAGTCAAGATCATCTCTGGGCCCAGGGACAGACAGTATGTTTAGTGTACCTTTGCTGTTTGTTGCTCACATTAATTCTGGGCCCTTCGCTTCCAGGTAAATTAAACACGGCAGTCTTGTTAGCAACCAACACATTTCTTTAATGAGAGATTTGTTAGTTGCTATGCATGGAGGTAGACCCAGGATGAGGATTGCTGTTAATGGTTGCTGAGGACACAAAGGCACTGACATCTCCCTGAGGCAGAAGCCCCTCCCCCCCAGCATTCAGCTATGCAGTTCCTATTGCTATTTTGGAGTGGGGTTCAATCACATCCTGGGAAATGCAGGTTGCAGAATTATAGATGATTAGGAGGCCATGTGTAACAAAGGCAGATGTTTTGCAACAAGGAAAGTGATGGGGAAATGTGGAATAACAGTTGATTGGTGCAACATCACATTAACTTTTTGCAAACAAATAAGGGAATGAATGCTTATTAAGCAGCTGACATCTAGCCTCCCACAAATGCTGTGCAGACAAACCGGGACGAAGCGGGTCAGCCTTCAGGTCAAAAAGTACAGTTTTCTCACATGCAGTTTGTTACTGGCTGAATCTACACTGATCTGTAAAAGCGCAAAACAACAACAACGCAAAACACCCATGTAATATAGCTCTCAGTGCAATTTTCCATTGACAATGGATTTTTGCTCTACGGCACCCTCTGGTGTCACGTGCTTATAATGCATTTTTAACGTTTTAATTGAACAGTGTAGATGAGTCCAGTGTCTCAGCTTCCATGCAATGTCTCTAAAACCCATGATGATCAACTGACTCAGGAAGAAAAGATGGGCAGTCTGGCAGACTTGTAGAACTGCAGGGACATTTAAGCTTGCTCTCGACTCTCCCATTCAAATGAGTGAGGTGCAAAAGTGCTGAACTTTTAGGTAGATCTTCCTAGCCATCAAAACCATCAGAAAATCGCTCTCCCTCCATCTTTGCTTGTGTCTACTGCAGAGGTCATAAAGGGAATCAGGCTTCCAAAGGTGTAAAACTGAAAATGTTTCAGAAGGAGAGAAGTGGAAAAGAATGATATTTCTTTTTTGGTGGGGGGTGGGGGATGGAGGGTGGAGTTGTTCTTCCAGTTCAATCAGTAGCTGAGCTGCTTAAGCAGCTGAATAGCAATCAAGGGGTTAGTATTCAATCCGAGTTTAGATCTTACAGAAATCTACGAGAATGTTGTGTATAATGAATGAGTCTCTCTTACTTCTTTGATTTTTCCATCTCAGAATTAATCAGATTAGTTTTCTATGCAGCAAAAATCAGTTGGGGATTTGGGAAAAAAAGAAAAGAAAAGGAAAAGGAGATATTTACGTCCCCCGTCCCCCCACCCAGCAGAAACACAAGCACAACCAACTTTGATTTCCCTGGTGGGTTCGGTCCAACAGTAACCAGCAATGCACACATCCTGCAAGAGACAATGCCAGAAAAGGCTTTGTCTCCTATCAGAGTGACAGTAAGTTTCTTTCAGCAAAATGTTTTGCACCCCACACCCCTCCTCTTTAAAGATCTCACACAATGCTCACAGGGCTATACCATCTGCTGAAGAACTGAAGAAATGATAATCATCAGGCCCCTAAAAGCTATAACTGCAGCATCTATAAATAAGATAATGTCAAAGTGCTGAGCGGTGCATGTTTGTTTGGTGGGGATGCTTCTCTTTCTCTCTCTCTCCACCTCCCCCTTTCCACTTTTTCCATTTCAAATACATTTCTTGAAGGCTTGAGAACAGAGCTGAAACTGAAATACCAGAGAGGGAGCTGAAAGCCATTCCAGAACCTACAAATGAGAGGAACGGTAGGCTGACATATTATTGACTGAGGCAGGATAAAAGAGGAAGCAATTCAACTCTTACATCTATTTCACTTTGGTGCAATGAAGCGAGATCAAAGGCTTAGTCTCACATTAACCCAGAATAATACATACTCTAGATAAATGATGCAAAGAAAAGGACACATTCTCAAGACATGACAATCCCATCAAATGCCCCTCTGCAAAGTTCAGGTCAAGGTAGATTTTTTCCTCCCATTTTCTTTTCTTTTTCTTTTTTAATCTTTGGGTTTAAAGTCCTTGAGCACTCACATTACTAATTGTGTGCAGATGGAGGCCAGTCTTAACTCCAAGCGTTTTCATTGCTGCTGAATTTCTGCGATAAATGCAGGAAAATGACACCCTCTTTCTCTTGCCATTTTAATAGCTCTTAAGTTGCTTTATAGTTTCACCTCCATAAGAGGGAGTGTTGTGGGGACACGATTTGACTGCACTTTGCTTATGAATACATCTCAAATACGGTAGCTAGTCTTCAGGAAACAGTTTCTTGGTCCTGCAAGCCTCTTCCCCCTGTCACCCTCCCCCCTCATTTTGTGATCTTAATTGTTCAGTTGAGTTTATTTAAGGTGTTTCTATCCCATCTTTTCCGGTCTCGTCAGATGGCTTACTGAGCTGAATCCTAGAACAATAGGATCCAGAATGCAGCAGTCTGATTGGTCCGCAGGAGCCACCCAATCCAGCTCCAGGTGGAAGTGAATCAGTGAACTGATTGGCCTGCAGGAGCAGCCAATCAGGCTCCTGGATGAAGTGAATCCCCAACCTGATTGGCCTACAGGAGCAGCCCAGAATTAGCCAATCACACGGGGCCCATTGTGTAAATAATGTATATATAGCTAGAGGTTTTAGGGAAAGGTTCATTCATTGCTACTATGAGCTGAATAAAGAGCATAATATTCATACTCGACTCCGAGTTTATTTCACTTACAGAACATGGAAACACAATATAAAAACAGATTAAAGCAACAGGTAAAAGCAACAAATGCCAGGTTGATATAGCTCAGTCTGTAGAGCATGAGAATCTTAATCTCAGGGCTGTGGGTTTGAGCCCCATGATGAGCAAAAAGATTCCTGCATTGCAGGCGGCTGGACTAGATGTTCCTTGAGGTCCCTTTCAACTTTACAATTCCATGATTCTATGAACTATGGCTAAAAATCCTTGGGGAGGGGGGGACCCAGTAACCGACAGGTCCATTTTAACGAGGCCAAATGTCACAAAACACCATTAAAGGCTTAGAGAACAACGCAATCTTGCGAACAATGCTCTAGTCTTCAGCGGCTACTGCTATTAACCACTGCTGTTATTGTACCTAGGTGTGTGGGGGGTCATAAGATGCATAGAACCCCCTCCTGATAATGCCTTATCTTTTTTTTTTACTTTGGCTGCAAAAAGGAATATTTGCCGCACATCCTAGGCCTTCCAACTCAGAGGAGGAAGGAAACGCCTTATGTCCAGAATGGGGATTATGTAGGTCTCCAGATCTTGCAGTTCCTATCACACCTGAGGCCACAGATTTCCCCACACTTACGTAGTGAGGTTCTATGATCTGAGGTTGAGGGAAAGCTTGCCATCGATTCACAAGGCAACCAGAGTCACTCGATGGATGGGTTGATTAAATTTTTATACCGCAGTTCTCAGGGCCGTTCACAACATAAAATCACAATGCAGTGGTACCTCGCCTTAAGAACTTAATTCGTTCTGGAGGTCTGTTCTTAACCTGAAACGGTTCTTAACCTGAGGTACCACTTTAGCTAATGGGGCCTCCTGCTGCCGCCATGCAATTTCTGTTCTCATCCTGAAGCAAAGTTCTTAACCCGAGGTACTATTTCTGGGTTAGCGGAGTCTGTAACCTGAAGCGTCTGTAACCTGAAGCATCTGTAACCCGAGGTACCACTGTATAAAAACAAACACATAATAAAACTAAGAGCAATTCAAGAACACTCCCCCCCAAATGTATTGCATCACACACAATTTAGTGGGTACTTCATTAAGAGACTCTGGAGGGAAAGCTTCCATGGCAGAAAAATGTGTTTTTTCCCCTCCCACCAATGGAAAGAAAAAGGGATTTCGGTTGTACATAATACAGGAGATGAGGCTACTCATGAACATGCTAAAATGCTTATTGTCAGTTCTGCGCTACTTCATGGTGAATTGCATGACTGAATGCTCTCTTGTCCTTCCCCCTTTTAAACAACTAATTGTACACCCAAGGGAACCAGGTGATGTGGATAATAATAATAATAATAATTTATTATTTATACTCCACACATCTGGCTCTAGCTTAGCATAAAGGAACCTAGTGGAAGTCTTGGAAGTTCAAAAACAGCACTTGCCTGTCAGATATTTGGAACAACAAGCCAAAAGCCTTCTGCACGTCCTCAGAAACCCTCACTCCACCTGTTACATCCGTGCGTTCTGCTTTAACTGGGCTTGAGCTCCGGCGGGCTCTGATTTCGTAGGCGTCGCTTAGGAAGCCCCAGAATTCCACTCGATGAATATACCCATTTAGATATTACAAATCTGAGGCAACAGTATGCTGGAGAAAACACCACAATTTTTCGTCACTCAAAGTGACAATTAAAATGACACCAAGGCCAGTCTCCTCCATCACTGTCCTTTAACACTGTCAGCACCTGTTTTACCAAAAAATTATCCTGTCTAATGCATGAATGGGCTAATTCATTTTTCACCCAAGTTCCTGGGTTCTCCCGATAGCAAATAAGTGTCCTCGCCTCCCTTCTCTGGTTTCATGTCAAAAACTGCAATTTGTGCCTCTCCTTACAATAGCCCTGAAGGTTAATTTTATGTTTGTGGGACACCAGCGGAGGGTGTTTGTTGCGCTCTCTGCTTCTAAATATTGTTCCATGGCAGATAATGTGTTTTGGAATCTATCACCTATTGGGCTTTACATGTGGGCAGAGGAGAGGGGCGGAAAGGAAGGGAAAGGGATAGGGAGTGAGGTTTTAGAACAGAAATGTAGTTTTCAGAGGCCCTGTGATCTCGTGTTAAGGCTCCTTCCTTCTCCATCTGCCAGCAGCGGGTGTGCGTGTGTGTTTCCAGAGGAAACAGGCTTCAAAAACGACACCTTCCCCTTGTTTAATTGCATAATTTTTATGGATGTTTGTGTTAATAACTTTTTGTAAAATCACTTCGAGAGGTCCACCTGAAAAGCAGTATGTAACCGGTGGAGCCAAGTCCATTAGGAAAATATGGTGGCACTGCTTCACCAAACTTTTTTTTTAATATATAAATTTTTATTAATTTTCATTAATACACATACACTCATTACACATCTATACATCCCACATATACCTTTAGCTTTGCCGAGCTCCGGACTTCCCTCCATCCCTTCGGTAAGTATCATATAGTTTTTTACCTTGCGTATTCTATTTGTTACTGTTTTGTCATGTGCTGTTAGAGTTATTCTAACCCTGCCAGTGTCTTTAAGTTTTTACAATTTTCTCTTATATACACCATATATTTACTCCAACTTTCACAAAACTTCTTTTCATCCTGATCTCGTATTTTCCCCGACAATCTAGCCAGTTCTGCGTAATTCATCATTTTAACATGCCATTCCATGATAGTAGGTATTACATCTGTTTTCCAGTTCTGAGCCAACATAGTTCTTGCTGCTGTCGTGGCGTACAGAAAGAGGTTTTTATCCTTCTTTTAAATTTCCTTCCCTGTCAATCCCAATAGAAAGGCTTCGGTTTTTTTTTTAAAAAAAGTATACTTAATTATTTTTTTTAAGCTCATTGTAAATAGATTCCCAGAAACCCTTCACTTTACCACTGCTTCACCAAACTTAAGTCTTCCCTCAGCCAACTGCCATGTGTTTTGCTTTCTGCCCTTAAGACCTTTGATTATAACATTACAAACGCTCCAAGTGTCCCTATTTTCCAGGGACGTCCCTGATTTAGAGCAGCCATCCCGGTTCTGATTCAAACCTGGAATGACCCAGTTTTCCTTAGGATGTCCCTATTTTCATTGGAGACATGTTGGAGGGTATTTAGTTATCCGACCCCTGAGCCATCTGAAGGCAATGCTGTATAGGGAAGTTTTTTTTTAATAAAATGTTTAATGTTTTATTATTTTTTTAAATACATTCTGGAAGATGCACATAGTGGCTGTGTGGGGGTATAAATAGTTAAATTATCATTATGGAATGGAATGTCCCTATTTTCATCGGAGAAATGTTGGGGGGCGGGCCATGACATTACAAAGCCAGGTTTGGTTCTGGAGGCAAGTAGATAAACAAGTTTATATTAGTCTCCCATTTTTACTGATGTACATAAGTAACGCTCTTTTCCATTTTGACAAATTCGTATGTAGGTTATGTACCTAGGTATGTAGGTCCAACATTTCTCTGATGAAAATAGGGACATCCTATTCCATCATCATCATCAACAACAACAACAACATCAACACCATCATATTACAGTCGTACCTCGGAAGTTGAACAGAATCCGTTCCGGAGGTCCATTCAGAAGCTCCTGCAGCTAATTGGAAGCCATGGAAGCCCCGTTGGAAGTTCAGCATCCAAAAGAACGTTCGAAAACCAGAACACTCACTTCTGGTTTTGATTGTTTGGGAGCTGGAACGTTCGACTCCCAAGGCATTCGAGAACCGAGGTACAACTGTACTATTTATACAGAACCCATCTGACTGGGTTGCCCCAGCCACTCCAACATATATAAAAACGTAAGAAAACATTAAACACACACAAAAACTTTGCTATACAGGGCTACCTTCAGATGGCTTGGGGATAGGATAACTCCATACCCTCCAGCATTTATCTGATGAAAATAGGGACTGCTGAGATAGCTCAGTTGGTAAAGCATGAGACTCTTCATCTCAAAGTCATGGTTTTGAGCCCAACATTGGGCAAAAGATTTCTGCATTGCATGGTGTTGGACTAGATCAGTCTAGATCAGTGTTTCCCAACCTTGGGTCTCCAGCTGTTTTCAGACTACGATTCCCACCATCCCTGACCACTGGTCTTGCCAGCTAGGGATGATGGGAGTTGTAGTCCAAAAACAGCTGGATTGGGAAACACTGGACTAGCTGAACCTTACAGTCCCTTCCAATTCTATAGTTCTATTATTCTATGATTCTAGGGACGTCCTAAGGAAACGCGGGACATTCTGGGATCAAATCAGAAACCGGGATGGCTTCTGTAAATCCGGGACTTCCCCTGGAAAATAGGGACACTTGGAGAGTCTGTCTATGGTCCTTCCCATTGGGTATCTGCTGAGACACTTGGCCCTGAAAGGGGTGCAATGGTCTCGATCTGGAGTCTCCTGGTCTTGGTCCTCTTTTCTGTCACTGTCAGCATCCAAGCATCTGCCTATTTCAGACACTTGTGCTCTCCAAACCAAAAGCAAGAAAGAACCTGAGAGTCATGCTTTCGGGTGTAGTAGCCTCCACATGAACCCCCTGTACCACATACTGCATTAGGTGAGTGTTGAAAGGGAGGAGCAGCCCAGACTCTTCCTGAGTAGAGTGTCTGAACTAGGCTCAAGTCTCTACGGCAGGGTTTCCCCAAAGGGTTTCTGGACTACAACTCCCATCATCCCTAGCTAGCAGGACCAGTGGTCAGGGATCATGGGAACTGTAGTCCAAAAACAGCTGGAGGCCCAAGTTTGGGAAGCCCTGCTCTAGGGTACCACCACATCTTGCCATCTTCTGTCCTTTAAAGTGGCCTAAGCTTTTATTATGGCATCCTCAAGGATAATCCGAAGAGATCAATTAAAGGTCACACACACACACAGCAGTCCAACTTCGATGGCCACCTTCCTCCCTCTGCTTGGCTCTGCCTCGCCTGCACAGCCCCCACCTGCCATTCTTGAAGGGCTTGGCAGCCCTGCAGGTGCAGGTCTCTCTCTCCAGCGTGGTGAGAGCTATGAATAGTAAAGGTTTTTAGCTCAAGCACATGGAGGCTCTGTGTTATGTCTTAAAAGCATGAGAAGAGACCTTCTGGATCAGGCCCATGGTCCATCTCACCCTGCTTCCTGTTCTCACAGTGGCCAGCCCACTGAGTGCAGTAGGACCTTTATAGCCCAGTCCTAACATGTTTCTGGACTTGGAAGCTAGGGCAGCAGTTACAACTGCTATACAAAATGCCTGCGATTTCCTATAACAAACACGTGTGAGGCACGGAAATAAAAATACATGCATCTTTCAACATACATGTAGGTATTTGTGCAGATGATTAAAGACATATTAGGAGTATAGGAAGCTGCCATGGGTGCATTTAGTTCCATATTGTCAACACCAGTGTTTCCCAAACTTGAGTCTCCAGCTGTTTTTGGACTACAGTTCCCATGATCCCTGACCACTGGGCCTGCTAGCTAGGGGTGATGGGAGTTGTAGCCCCAAAACAGCTGGAGACCCAAGTTTGGGAAACACTGGTCTACACTAACTGGCAGTGGCTCTCACGGGTTTCTGACAGGGTCTTCTCCATCCTTACTTCCAGGTAAGTGTGGTTAGGATTGCAGCCTTACACTGCAATCCTGTGTATGCTTACTATGGGACTGCCTCTCCTAGTATGTCCCACGGAGGACCTTACAGTCTTCAGACAAAAACACCTTGGAGGTCCCGGGCCACAGAGAGGTTAGGCTGGCCTCAACCAGAGCCAGGGCTTTTTCGGCTGCGGCTCCAACCTGGTGGAACACTCTGTCACAAGAAACCAGGGCCCTGCGGGACTTGACATCTTTCCGCAGGGCCTGCAAGACAGAGCTGTTCCACCAGGCCTTTGACCAAGGCACAGCCTGACCCCCTCCTTTGGTAATTCTTCACAGAACTCTAGCCCAATGGTTGCCATCAATTTGAATTGATTTTATAATGAATTGATTTTAGAATGCTGTATTATTTTACTGTTGTTAGCCGCTCTGAGCCCGGCTTTGGCTGGGGAGGGCAGGATATAAATAAATTATTATTATTATTATTATTATTACTCAGAAGTAAGCCCTTCTGTGATTTATGGGGGCCATAGGAGCAAATTCCTATGGGCTGAGGTCTCTTTGCCCCCCATTAAAATATTTGAGGGGGCTGCCCCCAAAGTTGATGGGCATTGCCATTCAAATGTTGTGTGTGCACCTCTTCTTGTGATTGATTATGCTGGATGGGGCTTGCCTCCCCCCCCAATATTTTATTCCAGTTGGCACCCCTGCATGGGGCTTTACTCCCAAGTAAATGCCCAGAAGATTACAGCCAAAAGGATCAAACCAATTAATTGTCTGATGATAAAATCTGCAACCCGCTGAAAACAAAAGTGGGAACAACAAAGGAAAGGAAAGGAAAGGAAAGGAAAGGAAAGGAAAGGGAGGGGGGGGAAGCTTGAAGCTTATCAAGGAACTAGGTAAGGAGAACAAAAAATGTAAATCCAGGAGACAAAAACGGTGCCTGAACCATCTAGCTGCTACTTTGTCAGAATTAAAACAATACCATCTCTGGAAATATGCTTGTGGAGTAATGAAGATTTGTCACTTTAGCTGCTGAAATAAAATCAGTTTTCCATTTCAACAGATGCTTTCTTGTCAAATGTTATGCGTCTCAGGCAACGAACATTGCGGATCCCCCTCCCCAACATTATAAATGTTGATCTTATTTATGAAATGAAGTAAGGGTGTTAAGGTGGTTGGGGGGCAGGGAGAGAAGGAGAAAAGAAGGGGGGGAGGAGGAAGAAAACCAAGTCTATTTTCATTTGGACCATCACATTATTGCTATTATTTTCTTTGAATCATTGCTAGATCTATAATTTTCATCTGTCCTTCCTTCCACACACACACACACACACACACACACACACACACACGTTGCAAACCTGCAGTGCAGTGGAAAGCGAGATTTAAATATTTTCAGACTGACTGTACTCGTCATTTGCATTCCACTGACTCATTCAGAGCAAAGACATCTGAGCAGAAATACAGCAGATAAAAGAGAAACCATTAATCCAAGGAAGATTACTGGCACAGAATCTTTATCCAGCATCCTCCCTGAAATGAGACAAAGATCTTACTCTCTGCATCCCCCTGGCTTAGCTTCAGAAAGTAAGCAATGCAGTTGGGTAGATGTGGTACTTTGCTATTTTATTTTTTTCAAGGTCCATTATATTGGACTGAACCCTCGGCCTCCTGACAGACCTTATTACAGATAGGAGGTTCCAGTGGCTGCTTTCTCAGTACATTCCTGCCCCTTCAATAAAAGCAATATGCTTCCCTCCCCTCCCTTCCCCTGATTTCCTTTCCAATGCATATTCTGCATTGGCAGGAGGGGAGAAAAACCATCTATCTCTATCTCTGAACCAAGTGCAGTACATGTTTATAGGAGTAAATACAGCTTTCTCTCTTGGAGAACTCATACCCTTTCCTGGTTGGAAATCCTCCTCTACTACCTCACAACCCATGGCCACAATTTACTTGTAGATCCCATTTGAGTCAATGGTCAGCAGTGGAGGCTGATCCATTAGGGTCCATAGTGACCCATGAGAGTCCTGCCAACCTCAGTCTGCCCTCACCTGCCTGCTGTCAACCTGTCATGGGATGGTTCTACCCATCATTGACTGGCTTCAATTACTGATGGCCTTCTGCCCTAATCAGTCTCAGCAGCATCAACCACTACTGAGGTGGTATGTTCCCCATTGAAATTTCAGTCGTTCCTTGGTTTTCAAACAGCTTAGTTCTCCAATGTTTTGGCTCCTGAATGCTGCAAACCTGGAAGTGACTATTCCAGTTTGCGAACTATTTTTGGAACCCGAATGTCCGACGGGGCTTCCGATTGGCTGCAGGAGCTTCCTGCAGCCAATCAGAAGCTGTGCTTTGGTTTCTGAATGTTCTGGAAGTCGAATGGACTTCTGGAATGGATTCCGGTCGACTTCCAAGGTACGACTGTATTGGTCAACCCCTGTCGGAAGTCTAGATTTTGTCAAATTTCCTAAAAAAATAGCTCAAAAACTTTTTTTTAAAAAAAATGCACAACATTTTTGTCTGGATTTTCACTTTTTGAAATATGGCAGCCTTAAAGAACCCTTAAGTGTAATATTTAATTCTATCTCGATTGATTGATTGATTGATTGATTTGTTTGTTCATGTTAAGAGATGTTATATGAGAATAATAAAAATAATTTGATAATAATAATAATAATAATAATAATAATAATAATAATAATAATATATTATTTATACCCTGCCCATCTGGCTGGGTTTCCTCAGCCACTCTGGGCGGCTTCCAACAAACACTAAAATACAATAACCTATTAAACATTAAAAGCTTCCCTAAACAGGGCTGCCTTTAGATGTCTTCTAAAAGTTTGGTAGTTATTTTTCTGTTTGACATCTGGTGGGAGGGCGTTCCACAGGGCGGGTGTCACTACCGAGAAGGCCCTCTGCCTGGTTCCCTGTAACTTGGCTTCCCGCAGCGAGGGAACTGCCAGAAAGCCCTCAGCGCTGGACCTCAGTGTCCGGGCAGAATGATGGAGGTGGAGACGCTCCTTCAGGTATACTGGACCGAGGCCGTTTAGGGCTTTAAAGGTCAGCACCAACACTTTGAATTGTGCTTGGAAACGTACTGGGAGCCAGTGTAGGTCTTTCAAGACCGGTGTTATATGGTCTCGGCGGCCACTCCCAGTCACCAGTCTAGCTGCTGCATTCTTGATTAGTTGTAGTTTCCAGGTCACCTTCAAAGGTAGCCCCACATAGAGCTCATTGCAGTAGTCCAAGCGAGAAATAACCAGAGCATGCATCACTCTGGCAAGACAGTCCGCGGGCAGATAGGGTTTCAGCCTGCGTACCAGATGGAGCTGGTAAACAGCTGCCCTGGACACAGAATTGACCTGTGACTCCATGGACAGCTGTGAGTCCAGAATGACTCCCAGGCTGCGCACCTGG